ACACACAGCTCACATACCCAAGGAAAGTATGTGACACGTGCGCGCGGTGTTCCAGGAATGGGTGATCTCGAAGGAACTTTGGCCATTCAGGTCACCTTACCCACGTTATCTTAGTAAAAAGTATATGTGAAGGAGCGAGCGTACAAAAACAATCCCCATGCATTGATTGACAATTTTACAGCTTTTGTTGCGATTTCTAGTGAACACGCACAGGTTGAACTTGATTTATGCAACAGTTGGAAGGATTTACTTTTTATTGCATGGGCGTAGATTATACATTTTGGGTTACCTGATTTTATGATCGCTCTGTAAGTTCTTCGATATCCCACTTCTAGTAACGAAAGAAGCCTTCCCTTTCCACTCGGTGAGGAATGCCTGATTTATTTGGTTTCGAAAGCGGGTCCTCTGGCGTGGGAGCCAAGGAAGCTACCAACTGAGCCGCTTACCAGCTCCGCTGATTAATGACTTCATCGTGTGACCTTGATCACGCAATTGGAGATTCCCTGATGACGGAACACATCCCCATTATCGATACAAAGCGTGGCTATTCGATATTCGAGCGTTGGGTCTTCCTCCAATGCTATGCGACAGAACTCAATGGAAATTGTTATATGGAGAAACTGGGGACTGCTGATGATGGAAAGCATCTCCCATATGATACCCGGGAGTCCTAAATTCATGCGGTGTCTCATTTGAATTCTCCTGGGCGGAAGTCGATTAGCCTCAATTAGGAAGACATGAATATTTCACGGGTAACAATTGGTAAAATATTAATGCGCAAGGAAATGAATGGAGCGAGTTGAGCATTGAGGAATAATCCTTCCGTGCGTTAGAGCATTGTCCGACACGAAAACGAACTCACTCTCCTGTCCGACGATGGTGCTAAGTTCATCCAAAAATTCAGCAAACACAACACGCGTGAGACCTGAATTCATCATCTGCTGGTGCGAAATCCACGAGAAGGGAAAATAGTAGTCACAAGTGGGAAATTATCCCCTCTTTGCGCGTCGACTTTCACAGATTCGTCTTTCGCCGACGATGACGCCTCGTCCTTGACAGCCGGTCTCGTCTAATGAAAATCATTGTGCCGGAGGTGGATAAAAAGTTCTGTGATATATATTCTAGCTCTGCGTCCAGTGAACGATCGGAGTTGGTGGTGGAGTTGGTGCTTTCATGAATTGAGAGACAGGCCCCTTATCGTTCTCATTGCGATTCTGATGGTTTCGTGAGACACCTGGGACTTCCCCGGAAGCGTCGTACCGAGACGCGCTTGGATTTCTTGGATGCCCGATAGAGATCTATTTCCAACGAGAATCTCAATCAAATCGATCATCATCTGCGCAGCGAGTTCTAGGGATGGAAAAGGATAGAAGTCCAAATATGGCAGATACACGAGTTGGGGGATATCGAGCAATTCACATCGAATGGCCTGTCTAAACTTTTGCCACCATTCCTCTGCTGCAGGTTTCTTCAGTTGCAAAACTTGACTGACTTGACGAGATGACAAGCCGAAATTTCCATTAAGTCTTACTTTATTGAGGAAGTTCTTCACAACTCTCTCTCGCAGTTGCGCCAACGTGAATGAATTAAGGTTTGAATGGAAACTGGCATATCCTTGAAGACGCCAGACAGACGAGGAAACGAAATTTACTAGACAGAAAATTTTGGACAATATTTGGCGAAAATCTTGAATTTTGGGCACACAAAAACACCGTCAGTCTCTTGCAAAGTATGATGTTTCGAATACTGAGCTGAACTCTAGTACTATTTCGAGCTCCGGACAGCCCTAAACTTCGGACACTTCTTGACATCGAAAGCCTCGAGTCATCGGCTCGAGGCTTTCGAAAAATCTCTTACCGATTTATGACGTTGAAGGCTTTCTCTACCCAATTGCCGTATGTTTTGATCCTGGAATCCTCGTCTTTCTAAAAAATTGCATTGATACTCATCATGGGACGGTTAGATTCTTCGTATAAAAACATGGCATGATCAGGAGCTAATTTAAATTTAGTTCATTTTTGGCGTTGGAAGCTCAAAAAATCACCTTTTTGTCAATATTGACTTCAGGTTGAAACGTTGAGACGTGGTTGAAGTAGGCGTATCAACGAAGAATAAGCAGCAATTAAATGTTCCCCATTCGTATTTTACCTTATTTTCACAATATAGAGACAACTAATGCGTTAGAAAAGTAATTTTCAGGATATTAAGTGCAATTTCCAATATTTATATTTGCATTCATCATAGTCTCAATTATGGAGTTGTCCACGTTGTTTCCACAAACAATATAAACGTTGCGCATTGTTGAACCCTTACAAGTTCAGTGGGATTACTATACCTGTAGAATTCCTCTTAGTTCATGAAGGAACCTTTTTAGAAATATATATGGATTGATCGGAACCCAGAATCGATAACCACAACGACAGATGGCTCAGAGCTCTCCACACTACCATCGGTGCCCACCATCTCAATATTTACAAGATCGTGGAAACATTGCGCAAGGGGCAAGTACAAACAGAAGCCTATGTCCATCAGCTTCACGCTTTTACAGCAACGCCCTTGTAGGCTGCACATTCGGTGTGTGACGACGAAAACGCGGGGAAACTCGAGGGGTCACTTTTGAATGATTATGGTTCCGTAAAAGTCGACTGGAATCTCATGAGTCCTGCACTGATACCATAGGATCCCTGTTGTCAATTGAAGTCTTACAGGAATCCAGTTAGATTGCTAAAACATAAAAATCTCATAGAAATTCTGCATAATATATTTTGCGTGCGATTTCTATGGGCTTCTAGAAGATGTTTCAGAAACTTCAAATGAATCCTACTGGAATTTTTTTTAAAGCAATCTGATGGTATTTTTTCGTAACGGCAAGTAGGTGCTGAACCTCGAGGCACTTCCAATAAGAAATAGGCTTTTAGTTTCTCAGAGTGCCCCGAAGGCAGCAATGGTAGAGTGTCACAATCGAGTGACTCCAGGTTTAGTAGCATCCCATTCGATTTTAAGGCTGACCAATGATGCATGAAGCTGAAGGTTACTCGTGCATTGTTGACCTTGCTGGGAAAAGAGGTTGCGACCTGGAGAAGTGACAATAACTTAATGTCGTGATGGATGCAGCTTCAATTCCTACGCCACCCGTATGACCTCCTGCGGCTCAAACTCTACTCCCCTCGAATTTTGGTTAGAATTTAACTGTATTAGCAACATAGCTTTAAAGTTTACACCCACCTGATTATTATCAACCATTTCCATTGCAACCTGAGACGAAATTGCAGATATTGCAGTCTGTCACTAGGCGTAACAACCGAAGACCTGTTCTCGACTCGATTCGGGTGTGCAACCTTTAGTTTGGGTCGGGACAGAGAATAGATGAGTGTAAGTAGAGCAAACACCCCACTCGAATCCCCTTCATCGGCAAGGTCTCAATTAAGATGTGACCATCGACCTTTCATTTGACGGATTCTCGTCAATTACTCCATCCGAGGTCTAGCAAAAAGCTCCACGACACACCTACATTCCATCGACGGTCGAATTCCCGAATGATTCGAATCCCAACTCTGCTACCAAGAACCCTGTCAAGCGAGTGTCGTTGACAGGGCCGTCAACACGACCATTACATGGAAACACTTGGAGCGCCGTCTCTACTGACACTCGACTCTCTGGTCAGGGTGCGAGTCACCGATCTAAAACTGTCAGTTCCAGCCCTCGCAGCTGACGAATCCATAGTTGACAAAAAGAAGGAGCCACTGCCCATGGCTGCATGGGTTGGATTGCTGGCCGAACACGAGAAATCCCCCAATTGACAGCACAACATGTTGTACCCATCTCCCATCTCCAAATATCAACCGTAGCAAAATCAGATTTCCATGCTTGTAAATGCCGATCCCGTATGTGACACTTGGCATGCATCTCTCTTTCCTCCCATTCCATCTATCCGCATTTGCTTCAGGAGCCTATTACGTGAGTGATAAAATTTACTTCATGCAACTATATCTCCAGAACCAACGCAACTTCACTTGGATATTTGGATGGAAGCAACTGACTCTAAAGTGGTATTTATGGTGACTAGTGGAATGGAATGGAAACAAAGTTCCCAGAAAAGAAACAAAATTCCGACTAAATCGCTTATACAGCGAGTTACCTCGTATATGCAACTGGTGTAAGTTTCCATTACTTGCCGAACGATACTTGATCTTTTCCTCACAGACAAAAGAAAGGAAGATATTGGAATTCCTGGATGCATTTGACGAAAGTGGCAACTCTGGGTAATTCTGACCCTAAGGACGAAAAAGTGGTGTTCACTTGGTGATGCGACCCCATGAGCACGTCTCACACTTTCCAAAAGTTTCAGACCTTCCTCCCATCAACATTGAATCGACGATTATGCGCTTTAGTTAGATGTCCACTTTCGGAGATCATGTTATTAATATAATATTGACAGGATCGATTGTTGGCGATGTTGATTCAGCCTAGTGGCATAGAATCAACAACATCGGTGGGACATGACGGATATTGCAACGTTAAGTCAATGTTATTGTGCAGACTGGGTCGTTGATGGTCTTTAAGGAGAAAAGGAGGAGAGGAGAATCTGAGCCTGTAGAAAAAATTAAATATGTTGAAAGTATTTACCTCATTGATGCCACCATTCATTGGGCAGAGAGGTACTTACATAATCAGCATTTGGAGGTGTAAGAATGTGCATCCACATGTCACACCGATAAAGATAGGAATGAGTCTAGAAGGATTCTTAAAGCGGAAAGATCCCAAGACCGGGACCCCTACCCTACGTCATACGTGCTGGTCAAGTCTCCTGTTGGTGGTGGAAGTAGGTGGCGGCTGAATGGGTAAACTGGGAATCCGGTGTGTCTGTGCGTGAGTACGTGTGTGTGAGTGAGTGAGAGAAGGTGAGGGGAGGGGTCGAGGAAGAATGAAAGGCGCGAGCTTTGGAAGACTGAACACTGGAGCTCTTCCCAATTTAGCTCAAGAGATTTGGGCCCGAGCCACTTGTTTCGTGGCAGCACAGATGCCTCCTTGGCCTCTCTTTCTCTCTCTCCCTCTCCGTCTTTCTCCTGCCTTGATCAAAGTTCTACGGTGAGAGAGAGAGGGGGGGAGGATAGAGGAGAGTGAGCGTGTGCGTGAGTGAAAGAAGTACATCTTGAGCGCCTCCCCACCCCCTCTGGTATATCCTACTGTGTCCCAGAGGAGAGAAAATGAACCGGATGTTATGGATAGGGAATGGGAAAATCCGCCCGGTCCAGTGCCCATCATCGGCGTTCCATGCAGGCTGTGTGGGAAATGTGCGTGAAAAATCCCTCGTGACGTGACCAGGTGACCTGTGAAGCCGATCCCCAATGATCCCTTCCCATCAAAAACCTCTGAATGGCGGGAGGTTCGATTTCGACGATGGTGGGACATATTGTGGAGGATGGGAAGACGGGAAAGCACACGGGCATGGAGTATGTACAGGCCCTAAAGGCCAAGGGGAATATTCCGGATCGTGGCATTTCGGCTTCGAAGTCTCCGGTGTTTACACGTGGCCCAGGTAAGTCCTTCGTATTTCCATATAATTTAAGCTATCCTCCATCACCCCCGCTCCTCTACGCTATGCCTCATTGGCACACCTTCGAGACTGCTTGGAATAGCTTCTCGTGAGGTGATATCTGACAGGAGGGGGAATCTGTTTCCATTCGGGAGTAGCCACTCTCCCGACTATGTTTACTTTGTGCATCATTAAGCAACGTGTAGGTATGGATCCTCTGAACAATTTCTAGGGTCCCGTAATGAAGTAGAGTGGCCTGTTCTGTCTTAAAAATCCAGTCGAATACGTTGACGCAATGGTATGCGTGGCCCAGATCGTGTTGCCGACGTGAGGCGCACAGACGTATCAGATTTCATTCGCACAAAAACGAGATGCTTTATGGGAAATGAGGCAGAAGGTTCTAGCGTCGCAAATGAATAGCTTTCAGTCGTTCATTAAATAGATAAATGAAAATTGTCCCAAAAGAGTGCGGATATCGTCACTATCCCCTTGCCTGCAGTCAGCAACATCATCATACTGCATAATATTTCATGGGTTTCGGAATAATGAACTTCCGCTATTGTAAATGTAAAAAGTCCTATCCTTGGCAATTCGAAATACATATACCGAAGAGACACTAGTCTGATAACTGGGCTGAAGTTGGGACTCTCGTTTCGTCACGAGTGAAGTTGCAAACCGTTAAATGCTGTGGTACAGGGGATTTTTTTGGTTTAGATAGCCAAGTTCTCTTTGGCCACTCGAAGGAGAAAAAGTTATTGCTAAAATATGCCCATACTCGACCCCCACAACAAGTAAGAAAGGGAAAGAAGGTGATCGCATGAGGTGATCGAAGGAACGAGGGTCTGAAAAGTTGTTACTGAAAATAAATGTGTTCCGTGAGCCAAGAAAAGAGGGTCATGATCCAGCCCTTGTCGGTTTCCGAGGGTAGGCCTAGAGGCGCCAGAGAGGAGTACACTCTTGCCGTTCGTCATTCGGAAAATGTATACCATCCGATTTGGCTACATCAGGAGACTCTTCACGTGACAAGTAAGGAAAGGAAATCTGAGTCCCGGTTTCCATTAGGAGCAGCTATGCTAAATCGCTTAGAGTCAAGGGTGCCTCCCTCCAAAGCACAGGGTGGCACACGATGTTAACCCCTCAAGCCGTTTTCACGTACGCCGTACGTTCATCACTTAGGAGGTCGAGTCAAAACTCAGCACTTGAAGGGTTAATCTCCCTTTTAGAGTCCGCTGGTAAAACTTTGACAAGAAAAGTTCTTTATTCCTGGAATGTACATTCAACTTTGATTTGCTGACCTGCCCATGACAATTTGTAAGTCTACCAGCAGGATTTTTATGCAATTGAACTTCTAGTCTCCGTTCTCAAGGTAGCTCCAAGAATATGGCGACTGGAGGTCTCCCAGCCAAGCTCCTCACTGCCATACTGGAAGGCATGAAAGACAAATCTCACACTTCTCAGTATATTACCCTCACGGTTGTAAGTGTCTTGAAGTGCTGCTGGTGGACATACCAAATTTTGAGGACATGTGAAGAAATTCATAATAAAATGTACTCTCCAGAAATAAACATATTTTTATTTTCAAAATTCATATCAGTAGGCTCCACAACGAGGGCCAGATATTTTGTCACCCTTGCTGAAAATTCATGATTTGTGATAGCTTACAAGGACAAAATAAAACGTGTGCTATGCGCAATGATGGATAATGCGCAGTGCGCATTATCCATGATAAGGGTCGGTAGATTGGAAACACCCAAGTAAGATTATTCAATATAGACTTTATTGTAAGTTTTAAAAAAATTAATGACATTTTCCCAAACGAATCTGGCAAATATGAGTAGTAAGTTTGAGTATATGCAAAAAAGTACGAAAGGAAAATTAAAACCAGTATTTAAAGAAAAAGTGTGAATTCAGCCGCAGCAGTATGAGCCTCGCACAACTTGTCATTTTTATCCTGAACACGGTCCGCAAAGTTTTCATAGCGATAGCGTCTTATGATACTTTGCTCAACCTGGAGTGGGTGGCATTAAGAAAATATACTTTGCGATGTTAAATATTAAAAGCTCAATTGTCTGTGCTTTGAAGAAAATGGAAAACAACGATGCTGGCATTATTTGGGGCTCTCCCCCTTTCGCCCTTCCGGCAACCTGATATTGTAACCCGGATACAAGGTCAAATTTGGCTCATTTAACTTCAGCATGAATCGCACAAAATATGGATAAACCAGGTTTGACAACTTTGAACTTGTTCGTTAATAATATAAATTTGCCCTTTCTGATACCATTTTTTCTTTTCACATTTTTACGAGATGCTGTTGATTCCGCTTGGAAATGAAACAATGCCGAAAGTTGAATGCTGCAAGTCTAAAATAACCCCGAATTTTCACCGTCTTTGTTAATTTTTTACGTGAGTGCTTCAAAATTCCTTTGCTTTCTTTTGCTCTTGGGTAGTATTTAAGCACAAAAAGTGTCCCATAATTGCAAATTAAAAAATCCCATTTATTACACTTATCAAGCCGGTCTAGAAAAAACATAAACTTATCCCTTGCTATTTGCTATGATTCATTGTGCATCAAGAGGGAGCATATTGAGGCACTTAAGGATTCCCATCTCACCAGAGCCGATTACATTCATTTATTCCTTTTCGAAGCCGCTTGTCCCAACTTAATGGGGTCGTGGCCCGAGCGGGTCCAGTAGCATCCTCCAGTGCTCCCGATCCTGGGCAAAGGACCCAAGCTCAGCAGGCGGAATAGCGAGCCTCTGGGACCAAAGTGTCACAATATTGTCCGTACTCCTTGCATAAGGCCTACCAATTGCTCTTTCTGCTAGTCACTTTAGATCGAGGAACCCTCCTTGCGAGTCTCTCCGGAGGCATCCGAAAGACGTGTCAAAATAAACGGGTTTACTGTAATACCCATCGATCCGAAAGTGTAGCTGCCCGACCTGGAGGTTCTCACTGATGGTGGCACTCCGCATCTTTTCCCGAGTAACATTGGCCACCTGCCGAAAGAACTTCATATTGGTAGCTTCCTCTACAAAAGGTACACCTGCGTCTACCGGGGATGAACGGCAGGTGGATGACATGAGGATAGGAGGTGGATTTGGAACCAGGTGAACGTCTGCATAATTTTTTATATGGAACCATATCAACATCTGCCCAACAGATGAATTTCCACAGGACATCCACTTGATTTCAAATCAACCTTAAGCAGTGGACGTTTTGCAAAGGTTGTATCCGAAAGCCGATTCTTTCGGTCATCGTCCATCTTTCCTAGAAATAGGTAAGACGGGGGGGGCAAACGTTCGTTAAACCGGAAGTTTCACCTTGAAACTTCCAGATTTAGCACCCACAATCCTCCAGAGTTTCTGCTAAAGGGCGAAAGCCCTGGAGATGCGGCTGTCGATCTTGTTTTCGTATCGCCCGTCACTCGAGAACCAGACCCCGAGTTACTTAAACTTCCCTACTAGTTCTGGAGGGCCCCTCTCCCCTAAACTTGCATGACCCACTGTACAGGACTTCTTGAGTGGACCATAACCTGTGTTCTGGGGAAGTTCAATATCATTCCGGCCTCAGTACATTCTAATATTAAACCAGATCAACAAGCACCGATACATCAGCTGACACCCACATTACTGAATTAATGATCAGATTACATCAAGCTCACACGAACACCTGAAAAATCTTTTTTTTTTAATAGCCAGAGCTAGCAGGGTTTATGATGTAGCGACTATTCTTTACGAGAAATGTGATCATTTTGAAGAATGAAGTCTTTTTTCGACTCTCAGCTCTCGCTTGCTTCCCACAGACCCGAAAGAGTAAAAACGCTCAGTTTGGGAATTTTTAAAAATACAGCTACGATTTATATTTTTCGCCAATAATAATTCATAATGTAACCTGGCTCATGAGGACATGTACTCAAGTTACAGAGCAAAAGTTATCAATGGGAGTGGTGTGTTTAATAGAAAATTGATTCACCGACAGATGAGTTTCACACACAACTCAAATCGTCGTATGACAAATTTTAACGGAAGGGGCTCGACTCGCAGAAAATCTTTTCTCAGACAGGATCTAGTAACACTAGTCGAGTTGATGGTCATTATTCAGGTATGACAGCTTCAGGAAATCACACTCGGTTAAGTACAACTGCAGCTGTGCCTTTCATGTAGCGTTTGTGCGATGCAAACGATTCTATGCAAACGAGAAAGAAAATAAATAATCGCATTAATCTGAAGTGCACTGTGATCACTACTACGGATGGAATCGATTTCGTAAAAGTGCCTTCTGAATTTCATGATCATGCTCCAGACGAAGAGTGAATCGCGAAGACAGGTGGTGCGTGATATTTTCTCCCCCCCCCCCCCAATTTTTTCCTGGTGGGGAAAATTCTCACATGAGACTTCCTCTGAGGAACAGCGGCAGAAGCTAATGAGGAAAGCCACTTAGATGGGAACCATGCCCGCTGCTTCTATTATGGAAATGGGAAGCTAAGTTTAGTGTTGTTACATTTCCTGAGTAAGACTAAGCCTCCACTACATTATGCAATGCATTTGATTGGCGCAGTGAATAGGTGGTGGTGGTACATATGATGACATTTTTCTATGATACGATTCTGTTTTGGATAAAATGCATTCGAAGCAAAGCAGGTTTCCTCAAACTGAACAAAGAAGGTTTTTTGGCATCAATAATAATATGCGTTTTCAAGTATCTCAATCGTTGACACCGAATTCGTAGGATGAATGGTTTTCGAGATACAGGCTCCCGAAGTTGGCTCAACCTGACTCCATGGAGCCCAAATCTGCAAAACGACATGTCTCTCTAAGCTGTTTTAGGAGGTGCTAGTGATTCCTGATTGCCGCTGGATGGGCCAGATGCCACAACCATTGACTTGTGGCAGCGAAAGACCTCATTGTAATCCATGTTTGCTCTGCTCATGGTGTGGGTGTGACCACGATGTTTATCGGTTTGTTTAAAAGGAGCATTTACTAGTGGCGGTATTCGACCACCAC